AATCATAATCAGAACAGTTAAACGTGATCAGAACAGTTAAATCGTTGTCAGAACGGATGAATCATGATCAAACAGGTCGTAATCAGAACAGTTAGATCGAGATCAGAACAGTTAATTCGTGCTGAGCAGTAGCGTTTTTAGTTAGTTTGGTTTATATGTTAAATATGTTATTTGGTAAGAAATTTGAGAGTGTCACTGGTTATCAGCACAGTTAATTCGTAATGAGCAAATTATTCCCAAATCAATTCAATTTATGGAGAGAACGATTGAATCGTATTGAAGTTGTAAATTGTCAAGTAATATTCTACAAACGTCAAATCATGTTCAGAGATTCATTTGCATTATCATCCATTTTCATTGAAGGTTCAGGGAACAGGATCGGCTTCAATTGACTGTACCAAATGCCCTGCTGGTACCTACATAGATAAAGCATGTGATGGTAAAGTGGACGCAGTTTGCAAACCTTGTCCTCCGGGAACCTTCAACCATATTGAAGATCTTTCACAATCATGTGCAGAATGTTCCCCCTGTGAGATGACCCAAATAATCATCACTCAATGTACCCCGACCACGGACACTGTTTGTGGATGTCCAGAGGGAATGGAATGGAAGAGTTTTGGGGCAGATGGAATGTGCTCAACGAACATAAACAAACACCATCATAAAAAACATCATCACCATCATCATAAATCTCAATCTAATTAAAATTAGTTAAATTAATTAAAACATTTTTATGTGTATAAATCATTTGTATATGATATTTTGTTAATAAAATATAGTTGACGTTGACCAAAGTGATTGGATACTTTAGATACTTGAGCCCGGAGAGCGCATTTCTGACGATTCTGAAGTGTCAAAATCTCCATCAAAATCAACTCCGTTTGGTTTTTGAGATTGTGAACGGCCATAATTCTCCATAATTATCGTCTGTGGTTAAGATTCAGTCCGGAAAATGCATTCTCGTTGATCACAAACGCAATTGATACGCAAGTTGACTTTGCAATCTACTTTAAATATTTTGGACAGTTATACTTCAAGTCAGTGTATTCAGTCAGGTTATATTTTCGAACTGAAAAAGATTGAAGGGAAAATCACGAAATAAGATTTATAGAGGGAAATCGACCAAGGAAACTAGAAGGGATAATAGAATGAAAAAAGCTCAGGTTCATTGTAAATTCTGTGATCAAAAACACAATTTATAGATTTCAGGTAGGAATTTGATTAAATCTATAGGAACTGGGTGTTATACAAATTGTTACAAGATGGAATTACGGACGACATATATAACTCAGTTATGCGAATGGTTTCCATGTGAATCGGGTTTGCGCCAAGGCGATAATCTCTTGCCAAACCCTTTTCACAATTCCCAAACGACGAAGCAATTAGATTCTAACATTTAAATATGGGTGTTGAATCCAATTGACAGAATTAATGCGTGCTACTGTAGGTCTTTTTTACTAAGAAATCAATAATGTTATTAATTCAAATCCATATCGAAACAAGCGACACATAGCAATAAAATATGAAACAAATGAAACCAACAGTAGCCCTTCCTCCCTCCTCGAAAATTCTGACAACCGACAAATTCCATTACTGCAACTAAACACAATACACTTGCCCCTCCGACAATTGAAGTCATTTCGCTACGGGCCTGACTGATAGGTCAAATTAAAACCTTCGAATTCTTTAACCAAGTTTTCCCCCCGTGACGCAGGTAAGAAGGAATCGCATGGAAAAAGTGTCTAGTCGTTCGGATGGGACAATAAACCGAGGCCCTGTGTGCTAAAGGCTGCGCACGTTAAAGATCCCTCGACAGTTGGTTATCGAAAACGAGCTGGCTTTATGCCGCTGTCCTGGAAAAAGTAAGGCGTAAATTTCATTTCATTTACAGGCCTTCAGACAAAGAACGGTAAACAAATCATAAACTTATTTTAAATTATTGCAATAAGACATTAAATATCAATTGATTGATTATTTTTATATAATCTTTTTATATACAAAGATATTGTTAACTCTTATATATACGTCCTATAATATAATCAGATATAAAAAACGCCGATAAAGATATTGATTTTCATTATTTAGCAATTGTCAGATATTATATATACATAAAATCCAAAAGGAATATTCTATTCTATTCTATTCTATACTATGTAAATCAAGTGTGTTTTTTTTAGCTATTATCATAAGCTTCACATTTGTGTTCAGTGTCGTCGGCTTAAACATTTTGTCATTCCGTGAGTCACCCATTGAAATCGAAAGGAAATATTTGAAACTAAAAAGGGTTTCTATTCCGTTAAAAGCACACACAGTTTATTTGATTTGTGACTCTTTTAGTAGTCAAATTCATTGAATAGCCTCACAAAAGGTATAGACATTTCATGCAAATTTAATGATTGTATTCAATCGTTGTGTTTTTTTTAGAAAATTCTTTTTCACCCTCCCTTTTGTGGTTTTTGTATGCCAAATTTTGTGAGAGAATTTTAGACCGAAGGATAATTCTATATAAGTCGTTTTGTGAGCAGTCACAGTCTGGCGGCTCAAAGTTTTCAGGGTCAGGATCTATTGTATTGTTGATGAGACATTCGGTATTGATTAGGCTCAAGTGACATTGGAAAGGTATTAACGAGACTTTTGGAAAAAGTTATAGGTCTAATTGTAACATGGAAAGATGGCAAATGAATTAGTGGTGTGACTCCTGTATGACAATCGTACCTTTTTTATATAACAATATCAAAATTTTGATATCTCCCTTACTATAAACTGAAATGTGGTCAGAGCTAATATTAGCAATTATCTTTCTCAATCCCTTTTTATATTTTTGCATGCCTATTTTTAACTAATTTATGGTCTAGATTTGGAATTTGATGTCTGAAATTGCATTTTTCTTTTTTTGCATTTTCTTTCAAAAAACTTTATAAAAGTCGTTTTGTGAGCGCCAGTCACCTTCCAGTGGATCTTGATAACTGCTAGTTGTCTAATTTCAAACTAATTTACTCAAATTTTCATGATCAAAGTGTGTCGTGACATAGGTTCAACAAATCAAAGTAGAGATGATAAAAGAACTTCGTTTATTCCAAATCCATACAGATCGTCCATATCCACCCCTTAATGGTCTGCACTACAATTTGCATTTTTATGTCTAGACAGTCTTATCGTGTAAAAACGAGAAAGGAAACGAGAGAAAATGTAACTCCTTTTTAAATTGATCAATGCATCAATGTGTTAGTTAAAGAAACAGTGATAGATTAAGGATGGAGGGAGGGAGGGTGATTGGAGGGTGGGATTTAGGGTGATTGGAGGGTGGGAGGGGGTGTGATTGGGGGGGTGATTGGAGGGTGGGAGGGAGGTTGATTGGGAGGGTGATTGGAGGGTGGGTGATTGGTTGATTGAAGGGTGATTGGAGGGTGGGAGGGAGGGTGATTGGAGGTGGGAGGGAGGGTGATTGGAGGGTGGGAGGGAGGGTGATTACTGACTGACCCTTCTACACTACCATTGTATTTTTTCTAGACTCTAATCAAATAAATTTTGATTGGGGAGCTATAACCCCAACCCTTTTTTGCACATATTCCCATAAATAGGTAAATATGAACAACCAACAGGAGCAGGACATGAAAGCTAAAGGAAGATTCTTCTGGATGTCAACTGTCTGAAGATTATGTTCCAGGCCCAACATGACTTATTTTGTCCAGTAACTTTCGAAAAAAATTCTAAGGGGAATCGGAGGATTTTGAAAATAAAGGGCTTACATCTTGCATTTAATGCAATTTGAAAATTGTTTTTTAAACATTGTCCATTTTTAATTAATATTACCAACAAAATCGTATTTTTAGGCCTTTGGGTTTTGGGTAGTATGACACGATAGTAGTGTGGTTATCCACCAGTGATTTCAATTAAAGTAAACATGAGCACTGTATTTGTAGTATATTAAACTATTGATTTGAGATAAACAATGTAATTGTTAAAAATAATAAAATTATAAGATCATGACGAGTCTACGTAGAAACTAAATTGAACGGACACCTATCAAAGATATTGTTTGTGATTCGGGCGTGCCATGTTAGCCCCACCTGCGCAACATACGGCTACAAATCAAGGTGATATTTTACATATATAATTATATTAATGTATCGATGTAACTGGATCTTTGGGTGATTTGAATAGATCAATATTTTTAACAGTCCATTGTGAATAAAATTCCAAGCTGTGAAACACCATGGAATGGAAGAAAATTATTATTTATGCATATTAAACAGATATAGAATGTATCAAAAAAAAGAAATATAAAATATCACACACAAAACAAAAACCATAAATAATACATATAATATTGAAATATTTATATGAACTTTACTGTAGAATTGCTTCTCAATTGCAGCAAATGCGAGACAACCCCTTTCCCCTATTCAACACAATCATGTCGATCGATTGATAGGTACATATGAACATAATATTTATTTGCTAAACAACGCGAATTTTCAAATCTGGACAAATAGCGAGATGTTTTTTTAGAGGGAGTTCTCAAGAAGTTTTCATATCACTTGGCTTTAAAAATACAAGCTAGTAAACCTATCAAACTCCTGTGCTAACCCATGATTGATTTATTTTAGTATTATACAACCGTACATATTGTATAAAGGTTATGATTCAGTTGTGTATTAGATTTTTTTTAACAAGGACTCACGCTCCGAACCGCAAAACGAAACCCGAAATACAAAATAACAGTTTGTTATCTTATTAAATGATTTATGTTTAAATCTCTAAAATATAATTTAAAACACAACATATAAATACTTCATTGATTAATGCTATAACTTTCTCTTTGAAAATAGTTCTGACTGAGCTAGCGTCCACAACTCGTAAAGGACGCTTATTTTGTTGGTATGGAAGAAAACCAGGGTACGAGTGTCTGTGTCGTTTTTGAATCTATCCAGTGGCTTGAGATAACTGAGAAAATAAGCTTCGTTGAATCGAGTATGCTTGATTCCTAAAGTTCTAAACACCATTCCCGTTATATAGTAATCATCAATCCAGAAAAATGGCGTCCTTAGTGTTGCGTCATACATTTTTAGTGCTACGTCATTGGACATGAGAAAAGCGGAACCGGAACAATACATGGGGAATCTGTCTAAAGGAAATTCCGCTTTTGACAGATACCACTTTGATTTTTCGTTTCTGACGACCATCATATTAATCCATTGATTGCATAGAAGTAAATTTGTTGCTGGTTTTTTGTTACTTTCCAATTTACTATGAATATGATGAACAAGGCGATAAATATTCACAAAAATATCGTCGTCCGTTTTTAAAACATATTTAGAATGTCCACAGTTATGTTTTAACCATTTAAGAGCACCGATAGCTTTATGAGATAGGTTCCTGTACGTATCCAGGAAGTCCTCCTGAAGGAGATCGCCATATTCGTTATATTCCAATTTTGCACTCGACATTACGTCAACGTCTGTCACTTTCCCCAAAACGAACACAATTCTAGCGTGAATTGTGTTCAAAAGTTTTTGGTTTCCCCAAGTTTCACGAATGCTCATTCGTTTTTTAAAATTCTTTGGAGAACTATGAATGTAAATCATTAGAAATATTTCGGATGTGTTGCACAACTGTGACGGATTGAGCAGGTATTTAAAACTGTGATGATTCACGTCATAATCTAAACTCGAAGTATTACGGATCATCTGTAACGTCACTAATGATTTTGTTGGGACTACGTAATGATTCAACTCTGACGTAAACGATGCGTGTGTTTCGCTGTGTTCTTTCACACGCACAGTCATGGCGCCATTAAACTCTCTTGACGAAAGGTTGAGTTGGAAGAGTAAAAACATGATGGAGGTGGCCAAGACGATCATAAATACATATCTTATCACAAACGTACATCTTCTGACAGGGAAATTCATGCTGATTCCCAATGGAATTAATCTGAAATATACAAAAAAAATAGGCTACAGATCACGAATGAGTTGACCTCAGAAATGAAATGATAGGAAAATTCAACCTTATGTTGAGGGATCTTTGCCGTGTACAGATTTATGAACGACTGATAACATTATAACATCAATATTAACTGCTGAGGGAATGATAGCTTGCCAGGCAAGGTAACATACGCCCACTGGCTGCTGTCAGAAATGATAAAACAGTATTTAGTGATTATAGTATGATTTGTCTCATGTCAAAGAAATTTTATTTACTGCCAGTTATTTATGCTGGGAAATTCCACCAAGTTAGATATAGCTAATAGAGTGAAACGTCAAGTCAGATACGATATTTCGGTGAAAAATTATCAGATCATCAAGAAAATCGATAGGGATCATCTTCATAATGACATTGATACACAAAAACAAAATCAAACGAATCTGTAAAGAATTGTAGCCTGTAGAGTGAGCACGAATTGCACAATATAGCTAATAGAGTAAAACGTCAAGTCAAACATGATAATTCGGTGAAAAATTACCCGATCATCACGGAAATCGATAGGGATCATCTTCATAATGACATTGACAAACAAAATCAAAATCAAAAGAATCTGTAAAGAATTGTAGCCTGTAGAGTGAGCACGAACTAAACGTGAACGGACGGAAGGACGGACGGACGGACGGACGTACGAACAGACCGACAGGGTGATTACAATATACGCCAATCTTATGTGTGGGTGTATAAAAAGCGAATTCAACGACCTCAATGACTGGACGAGCCATTTGAATCTCCCACATCTGTACCCTATACCAATTATCTTAAGGTATCAAAAAAGTAATTAGTAAATTGGGATAATGAAAATGAATAAATACAGTCGGTTATAAGCGGACATGTCTACAAGCTGTTCGATATCATTATTAATATCGATTGATGTGGAAAGTTTATTCGGGATATTGACTGACAAGAAATCTTCACCCCAGGGAATTGACTGTATTATTGACTAATTTGTCAAAAGATTTAATGCAACTCTATACTGAACTACAAAAGAATGCCTGTTGATTCCAATATGGCCATAATAGATCTATTGTCTCTAGCCTGTCGTTTTAAATCGTATGTTGCATAATGTACTGATGGGGAAAATAAAATGTTCTATATTCCCTTTGTAAGAATTTGTATCAAGCCAAATACTGTTTGACTATCACTGAAGTCGATAATGGTGTCCTCCCACATCTTGACTTTAATAATATTGAAATTCAGCATCCTACATTCAATTCTGAGGAAGTTCAAGACATACTATCTTGTCTTGACACTAAAAAGGCAACAGGACATGATTCCATATCAAATCTTATTCTGAAATGTTGCTCGTTAAGTCTTAGTTCCCCTCTGAGTCGATTATATAATCTTTGCCTAGATCAATCCGTGTTTCCATCCATCTGGAAACTTGCAAACGTCGTACCAATCTACAAAAAGGGCGAGAAAAACGATCCCAAAAACTACAGACCTATTTCCCTATTGTGCTGCCTCGGTAAAGTCTTTGAAAAATTACTCTACAAACATGTTTTCAATTTCTTACACACACATTCAATACTTTCATCCTTCCAGTCCGGTTTCAGGCCCAATGATTCAACTACCTACCAACTTATAGATATCTACGATAGTATTTGTCGAATTGTTGACAATGGAGGCGAAGTTAAAATGATCTTTTGCGACATAAGCCGGGCCTTCGACAAAGTTTGGCATAAAGGACTCATCCATAAACTAAACGCAGTGGGTATCAGGGGGAAAATCCTTCTCCTCATCCAAAATTACCTTGAGAGCCGAAAACAGACCACAGTTCTTAATGGTACCAAATCAGAAGTTAAACCCCTATTTGATGGTGTTCCCCAAGGGTCGGTTTTGGGCCCTCTGCTCTTTCTAGTCTACGTCAATGACATTAGTGATGGTCTTCTTTCCAACCCCAAGCTCTTTGCTGATGATACGTCTCTGTTCATGACCATTGAAAACAAAGAAGCATGTCAAGAAGCACTTAATTCAGATCTTGAAAAATTAAGTGAGTGGTCCCACAAAAGGCAAGTTACATTCAATCCACTGAAAACAGAAACTCTTACTTTCTCACATAAGGAAATTCCAACTATCTTCAATCTTAGCTTTAACAATAGCGAACTGAATGACTCTTCTAATCACAAACATTTTGGTCTGCACTTTCATCAATCTCTTAACTGGTCCACACATATAGATTCTATTCTTCGTAAGGTCTCTCCGCCAATTAACTGTCTCCGAAGTCTCAAATACCGTATATCCAGAAAATCTTTACTCACCATCTATAAGACTAATATACTACCTCTATTCGACTATGCTGATGTTATTTGGAACAACTGTACCCAACAAGATGAAGAAAGACTCGAAAAGCTCCACCGTGACGCTTTGCGGACTATAACAGGCCTACCCCATGGCACCTCCCATAAACTACTGTATGGTGAATCAGGAATTCCAGCACTAAAGATACGCAGATATCAGCATAGGCTCACTGTCTTCTTTAAAATGATACACAAATTAACACCCTCTTATCTAAATATTCTTGTCCCGCCTACAGTTGCTGAAATGAACCCATATCCAGTCCGTAATGGGAATGACATCAGAACCATCCATACAAACAACAACTACTACCATGATTCCTTTCTACCCTTATCAATCCGTGACTGGAACAATCTCCCCTCTACCATTAAGGATACTACTAGCACCTCTTCTTTCAAATCTAGACTTTCATCCTTCCTACAAATCCCTCACATTCAAGATTACTTCTACACTAATGACAGAAAACCTGACATACTCCATTGTCAACTAAGGAACTCGAAAAGTCAGCTAAAGTATCATCAATTCATTAACCATATAGGTGAAGATCCTTCTTGTTCATGTGGCCATCAAATAGAAGACTCCTCTCATTATCTCTTGATTTGCAGAAACTACACTCTTCAACGAAATCAGACAATCCACACCCTGCCTCCTGGCCTTAGATGCACGAATATTCTCCTAAACGGAACAAATACTGCGGATAACAAAACGTACAGCCATATCTTTTCAGTGGTCCAGTCATTTATAACAATAACTACGCGGTTTAAATAAATCTCTTTTACCTATTCCCCATCCAATCTAATATCACAACGTGATCTCATGAACCTTTAAGCCATGTACGCCTCCAACCTTTCCCAAATAGCTTTGGTGACCACGCAGCAGATATGTATAGCATCTGAACACTGTCTCCTTCTCGAACCCAGGCCAAAATCACTGTTCTCTTCTTCACTTTTCTGCACTATATTGACATAACAATATCATAAAAATGTAAATAAATTATAATTGTATATTTGAATGTTAAATTGATTGGTAACGGATTAGTATAAGCTTCGACTTGTTTCTGAAACCATTGCTCATATCATGTAATTATCTATTGTAAATCATGAATAAATATTGTTAAAAAAAAAGAAGTCGATAATAAAAGAAGTGGGTTCTACTCTCAGACCTCAGATCTCGTCATCTTAAAGATTCATTACAGTGTAACTTTCAATTCATTTCACTTGATACAGAACGCATATATTTTTAGGACATTAATGGATGCAAATATATACATTAATAAAAAGAAAAAGATGGGTCGGCGTATCACATTTACCGAATTACATTATTGATGGACTATTCCATATTGCTGATCGATAAGTTCAGTAATAAAGAAGGAAGGTCGGCGTATCATATTTACCGTAATTACATTATCTTTGGACAGATTCATTCCATGAATTAGCCGATACTTCGGATAGATTTGTTCTTCAACACTTTTCAAATTCACCAACTGTGCAGTAATAAAAGCGGAAATTCGTCTAATCACATTCACCTTTATTACATTATGAGTCAGAGAGATTGATTCAATGCGGATATTCCGGTTCGAATTGTTCTTAATCACTGCGCAGTAATAAAGACGGAATGTCGGCGAATCATAACCACCTTTTTGTTTCACCGTATTCATCGTAATCAGTGGCCTGATATCAATGATTCCATGGACTTGCCGATATTTCAGATCGATAACTTCTTAATCAACGTTCAAAATTGAAGTCTCGATCTTCCAGTTATTGACTGACAGTACGAACACTGTCCAATATCTTCGATCTGCCAATAAATTACGGTTTGAATGTTCTTGTTTGATACTTTCGATCTTAGTTAGCAATTTTATCTAATTAAGGAATAAAACAGTTACGTGGATCAATATCAGTCCTGAAAACCGAGTCTAAATATCTAATTTAGAAAGTATAAAAGAGAAGCTAATGGATCGGTTACGTCAATACCATAAGAACCAGGTAAACAGAAAATTAAGAATGATATATTTTTTTAATATCGGCATTTCAACGCAATGTATTTTTCCCGTTGAGTCAATCACTTAGATTTTATGTAATTTCAATATTGGAGATAATATCAGACCACTCAGTCTTTGTTTGAAGTACGATTAGCCACTTTCGGGCGTTTATTTTGGTCTCAAAATATATAAATAGCCTTCAGAATTGCTAGAAATTACGCAAATCACAAAATTCCTTCAAGAACATATATCTGAAACTAGGAATTTAACGTTCTATTTCAAAATATGTCTAGCGGAGTTAATTTTACAGTACAGGTTTCAAACTAAAAGTTCAGATTGTATCAAATG